TCTCCCTCTCTCTCTCTCTCTCTCTCTCCCTCCCTCCCTCCCTCTCTCCCTCCCTTCCTCTCTCCCTCCCTCCCTGCTTTCCTTCCTCCTTTCCCGTGCTGGGCCGGAACCCAGGGCTTTGCAGGTGATGGGCAGGTGTCCACCCACTGAGCTACATACACATCAGCCTTTTTATTTTCTTTTGAGACAGGTCTCACTAAATCGGGGCTGGCTTTGAACCTGCCACCCTTTCCCTCCTGAGTGGCTGGGATGACACGAGTGGCCACCGCTGACGTCCTAACCCGTGGCCTTGCCCTGAGACTCCCCAGTCTGATGGAGGAGCCGCGACCCTCCCTCTGAAGCTCCCAGTCTGAAGGCAGAACCCGTGGCTGCTTCCCCGGGCTGGCGGGCTGGCGGAGGAGGTGCAGGGCAGGCGGGTCCCATCCGGGTCGTCCCTCACTCTCAACCAGCCTTGGCCAAGGAGCCTGTGCCCGTCAAGGCAGTGACAGTGCAGGTGCCCCAGAGGGGAGAGCCCGGACTCCGGAGGCGGGCTCAGGTGCCAGAGCTGCAGCAGCCAGGCAGCCCCGGGAGCTGATGGAGGAGGTCTCCCACGAGGCTTGACAGCGCCCTGGTGGGAAGGGGCGGGGCAGGGCGGGAGGAGGGGGCTGCACACACCAGCCSCCAGTGCGTCCAGCGCCTGTCCCTCCGCTGGCTCAGCCCCAGAACTGCATGAAGGGAACCTTGTCCAGGGTGGAACTGGCCCCAGGACACCGGTGACAGACCAGAGTCCCTGGGGAACTCGGTGTGGATGAATGGGAGGGGTGGACAGGCAGAGGCAGGGTCCCTGCCCGGGTGACTCAGTCACAGAGGCTCTTGGGCACCTGCCAGATGCCTGATGCTTCAGCTGGGGCCGGAGGCAACCACCTGGTTACCACCTCCTGACGCAGACCCTGTGTGACCTCCACTGCGCTGCCCACTGTGCTCACGGTCCTCAGCTTGAGCTGGAGAGAGGCTGGCACTTGCTCCTAACCACAGGGCTGCGGTGGAGCTGGTGGCGACTCTGTCCTCTCCGCGGGCCTTTGGAAGCAAGTGTGGGCAATGTCCTGTGGGCCACATGGAGGCCAGGCCTTCCCGGCCGAGCCTTCAGATGACACCGGCTGCAGCTTGTCTGTGTCTCTGGCTCATTCTGTGTGAGTGGAGCTGGTGACCGAAGCCCGTCCTTGCGTGCTAGGGAGGTGCCCGCCAGCGAGCATGCCCAGTCTCACCCAGCGCTTTTGGTTTTGGCTGACAGACCTGGGACTCCTGGGTTCAAGTGATCCTCCCACCTCAGGTGCAGGGACCACAGACACATGGCGGCCCCTAGTGTGTGTGTGTGTGTGTGTGTGTGTGTGTGTGTGTGGTGTGTGTGTGTGTTCGGTACTGAGGATTGAACCCAGGGGTGCTTAACCACCCACATCCTCAGCCTTTTTTTTTTAAATTTTTTTATTTTGAGACAGGGCCTTGCTAAGTTGCTGAGGCTGGACTCGAACTTGCAATCCTCCTACCTCAGCCTCCCACGTCACTAGGATTGCGGGTGTGTGCCATGTGCCTGGCCCAGTGTTTTCTACTTTCAGAGTCTCTGCCAATATCCCGGGAAGCCACAATGGCGATTCTGTTGCTTTAAGCCAGGGATTTGGGGAGTAAGGTGTCACACAGCACTGGAAACATACACGGGCGAGAACATACCTCTGAAGGCCCCCTGCACCTCAGCCCCTGGCTCTCACCATGGTGACCCTCTTGTCCAGGGAGCATCATTTTACTTATATTTTATTATTGTACCTAATACAATAAAAATACATTGTACAAAATTCTTATTGTATTTATATTATTAATCATGTTACATTCTATTAATATTCATTGTTTCCATCTTATTATTTAATTTGCAGTGCTCTATCACTGGCTGCCCCACAGCCCTTGTATTTTGAGACAGGGTCTCACTAGGTTGCCTAGGCTGGCCTGGAAGGTGACATCTCCCTGCCCTGGCCTCCTGAGGGGCTGGGATCCCAGGTGCGCAGCTTTCTTTTATTTTATCTGGATGCTTGATCTCTTACACCCCCCTTCCAAGAAGAAAGTCACTCTCTGGGAGGGAGGGGGCTTTGCCTGTTTTCACTGCTGTGGCCCCAGTGCCTAAACCAGAACCGGGTGCACAGTAGGTRCTCAATAAACACAGGTGAACGGGCAGATGGACTCGACCTTGTAGTGGGAACAGGAGTGAAGGGGGTCACAGGCCGCTCGGCCCAGGGTCCTGCATCTCCTGTGCTRCGGGCCCTGCTCTCTGACTTCTGCACTCCCTGTGGCCACTGAGTYGCGGCAGAGGGGTGGGCTTTGGGGCTTTCAGGTGGCCACGGCTGGGGAGCTGCAGGCAGAGAGTGGGCCTAGGGAGGGCTGGAGTCTTGTCATGACCCCGCCCTGGGAGGCTGGGAACCAGAGCGGATCCAGGAGCTGGATGACCCACGGCGACTCACTGTGGGTTCTCAGCTCTCAGGGGGTCGGAGGGGCAGGAAGAAGGAGCACACAAGTAGGCAGGTCAGGCTGTCAATAAAACTTTATTTATAAAGACAGACCAAGGGCCAGATTTGGCCTGTGGTTGCAGTTTGCATTTATTTGACTTATATTTTATTATTGTACCTAATGTAATAGAATACGTCACACAAAATCCTTATTTTTATATTAACTCCACTATACTACATTTTCATATGTATTGTTTCTATTTTTTTTTTATTTTGCAGTTTAGAATGTGGTCAGATTAAAATTTGGTGCTGCTAGATAAATAATAGTAATAGATGCTCCATGAACTTGGCAAAAGTTAAGTGTGAATGAATCAAAAGAAACCAGAGAAGCCAGGTGCAGKGGTGCACACCTACAATCCCTGTAACTCAGGAGGCTGAGGCAGGAGGTTCACAAACTTGAGGCCAGCCTCAGCAGCATAGCAAGACTGTCTCAAAAAACAAAAAAGGTCTGGGAGTGGCTCAGTGGTGGGCTACCTCTGGGTTCAGTCCCCAGCGCCAGGAAAACAAGAGAATTTAGGCAAAAGGGTAGTTTAGAGCAAGGGCCTGGGAAAGGCTGGCCAATGGGCGTGGGGGAGAGGCGGGGGGCGTGGGGGAGAGGCGGGGGGCGTGGGGGAGAGGCGGTGGTGTGTGGAAGCTGCTGGCAGCTACCCTCTGGAGCTGGGCTGCTCTCTGGTGCGCCAAGCCCTCCCCGCAGCCACGTGAAGCTGCTAAACATTGCTGAATGCAGAAGACAAGCACATCCAATGACTGTCACCAGCTGCCGCTGTCACCTGGGGCCTTGTCAGGGAGCTCTGGCTGGTCCTGGAGCGCCTTCCCAGGGAGCCATCTGCAGAGCTGCTTTGCCACCCCCTGTCCCCTAATCATTCAGGGACCGTCCCTCCGTCCTCCTTGAAGGGCGCTCACTTGCAGAATCAGCCTGAAAGGAGTCTGGGATGTCAGGGCCCTGTCCCAGCAAGGGACATCCTCCCATAGAGGTGCTTCAGCCCCTGACCCGAGGGAGGGTCTCAGGCGGCCCTTCCTCCCGGGCTTCCCCTCCGGAGCCTGGCTGAGGCCTCGAGGCTCAGCCTCCACCGGGAAAAGTCACAGGAGGGAGACCCCACCTCCCAGAACGCGTCCCCCAAACGCCAGGCAGTGTGCCCCAGCCATGTGCCCGTCTGCGTGAGGCCACCCAGGCGCTGGAGAAGGGGGTGGGTCTCCCAGTAGCTGCTCCTAGAGCCAGAGAATTGGGGACATCGGGCTGCCCCCGAGGAGGAGAGCTGTTCACTCAGAGCTAGGGCCAGCCATCACGCTAGTGACCCACTGCGGCCAGGACACAGGCCCCCAACTGGGCACCAAGCAGCGCCCCACCTCCTGCTCTGGAAGCCGGGAACCCTGACGGGCCTGGCCAGGCGGCCTGCTCAGGGTCTCCAGGGGCTGCCATCAAGAAGCTCCAAGTCCCATACCCAGTCTCCAAGGGACCTCACTGCCCCCAAGGGCCCCAGCTGGTCCCCAAGGCAGCCCGCCTCAGGAGGGTGCAGCTCCTCCCTCTGACGAGCGGTACCCAGGGGATGAGGAACCTTGGCAGGTCACGTCAGCCTCCAGCACGTGCTGTGCCAGGTATCAGCCGCACAGTGCTGCCACCAGGCCCCAAGTACAGCCACCCACACAACCAGAGGACGCGGGCTCCGGGCAGACACAGGCCACGGAGCCTTCCCAGCTCACTGGGCTCCTCTGCTCCACTGGCTGGTCCTGCCCCAGGCCCTTTGCACTGCTGTGCTAAGTCCCCTCTCTAGGGCCCTGCCCCTCCGTCCCCGAGGGAGCCCGTTCCCGGTTAGTGCAACACAAACCATCCTCTGGAAGTCCTTCCTGATGGTCTCCATTTTCAAGAGTCTTCAGAAGAGGGGGACAGAGGTGGAGATGGCCATGTGAGGAACACRCACATGAGGGCCAGGAGGCCACAGACAAGGGAAAGGCCAGGTGTCCCCCAGGGAGGCCTCCGCCCATCCKCGAGCACCTCATGGGACCCATTTCTGCTACCCTCTGTGGAGGCCAGCAGGGTGGGCTCCCTTGGAACCCAGTGGGTCCTTCATGCCCCCCCAGGCTCTGGGAGCCCAGGGCCCCTCAGGGTCCCCCCCCGCCCCCCCACCTGCTGTCCAAGTTCCTTTTTTTTGGTACGGGGTGGGGGGACCCGGGGTGCTCCACCACTGAGCCCCCAGCCTGGCTGCCAACTTGCCATCCTCCTCCTCCTCCTCCTCCTCCTGAGTAGCCGGGGTGGCAGGGGTGGCCACTGCGCCTGGCTCCAAATCCCCCTTTATGAGGTCACATTGGGACAGGGCCAGCCCCAGGCCTTGCCCAACCCTGAGACGTCCCTAAGCCACACCCTAACCCTGGCCCCCTCCTCTCCCCCTTTTCTATTTACTTATTTTTGGGTGCTGGGATGAACCTGGGGCCTCCCGGGCCCGCCAGCACCGCTCCTCCCAGCCCCTCTACCCTGGGGCGCCCCAGCCACCAGCACGCACCTCCTCCCGCCTGCAGTCCCACCTCCGAGGGTCCCAGAGACACCTGCACAGGGGGACGGCCCACCCCAGCAGGCAGCCACCTGTCCCCAGGAGGGATGCTGCTGTGATTGGGTGTGGCTCATGTGTGGGGAGCGTCCTGAGCAGGGAAGGTGGAGGTGGCTGGTCACAGGGCGGTCCCTGGAAGGAACTGCTGTCTCCCAGACCTGGGCCACCCCAGGGTGAGCCGGGCCTCCCCAGCTCTGCTCCCAGCTCACCGTGTGACCTGTCCCTCTGGCACCCACTCCTGCCACATGTGATGCCACACGCTAGGCAACGCGGTTACGGTGGCCCTTGCCAGAGCCAAGCCTCGGGGACTGTGAACCAAACAAATTCTTTATAAAGGGCCCGACCTCAACAGCAAAGGAACAGACAAGGGATCCGGGCACCAACTGTGGTAGGCGGGGCCCGTGGAGCCCAGGGCCACCCCAAACCCTGCTGGATCCTGGCAGAGAGAAGGTGCCGGCCAGTGCGGCAAGGCCCTTTTATTGGTTCTAGATAGTTCTATGGGGCGAGGGATGGAGCCAAGTAGGGAAGGACGCCCCCATCCCAGAACACGGCTGCCCTCAGGCCAGGAGGCTGCGGGCACTGGGCTTGCAGGAGCTCAACCCTGGACCCTGCAGGTGGGAAGGAACCCGGAGGTGCTGCAGGGCCGCTGCAGGCGGCAGAGAAACCGAGTCCCCCGCAGCCTCGCTGGCCCTCGGCCTGGGTTGACGCTGCTGCTGCTGCCCGTGGCCCAGGTCGTGTGGAGCCTCCAGCCCAGACCATGAGCAGCTCCCGCCTCGGAGGGCCGCACCGAGACCTGCGATGCCCTGGGCCTGGGTGGGGCTCTCAGTTGCTGCTGTCGCTGTCCCCACTGTCCCCGTACGTGCCCAGCTGGCTCAGGGAGGAGGTGCCAGGCGTGTGGGGTGCGGGGTCTGCGGTCTTCTTGCTCTCCGGGGCACCTGTGGGGACAGGAGAGGCTCAGCCCCACAGTCCTGAGAGCCTGGTGAGGCTCAGGGACAGGTGGAGTGGCCCAGCCTGTGGAGGGCGCCTGGAGGGGACTCAGCCACCTGGCCTCCGGCCTGTGGCCCATGGACACCTCCCTGGCAGGTGAAGCACTGCTGAGTGGAGACGGCTCCATGTCCAAGTTGAGCCGCTGTGACAGAGCGGGCAGGGACCGGGCCCACCGTCCACCCTGCTGTGCGGCTCCAGGTGAGGCCCCCTGCACATCTGGCTGAAGGGGCAACATGGGACTGGCCACAGTGGCTCATGGCGCCTGGACGTCCCACCAGGGAGTGCCCACCATCTTCCTGCCAGCCGTGCCACATTTCTGCTTGAATTTTAAAGGACAGGAAAGAGGCGGGTGGGGGTCCCTTGGCGCAGGCCAGGTAAGCAGGCGGGAGGCCGGGGTGGGCAGCCAGGTGGCTCAGCCCCGTGACCCGTCTCACCCACCATTCTCCACCTCAGAGCTGATGTGGGCTGGGGGCCATGCAGCCGTGAACACCTGCCAGGGGTCCGCAGGGGACCGTGACATCTGAAGACAGGGGTGGCGGGCCACGGGGCTTATCTATAAGCTGCTGTGTGACTTGGATCTTGTGTGTGAGGTGCAGGGAGGGAGGCCGGCCAGGCCCGCAGGAGCCACAGCAGCCGGGGCCTTGGGCCTTGAGGGGCCACTTCCATCTGTAATTAAAGAAAAATGAGCCCCAGCCCTTCTCCCCTGGTCCAGTAACTGGCCCCGGTGGGGGACAGGCCGCGCCCCACCCCACATGAAGCTTCTAGAACCATAAGGGCACTGCTGCCGACCGGGGCGGCGGGAGGCACTGCGCCCAGCTCTGGGGACCTCACCTGGGCTGGGGCCCTGCCCCGTGCTCCCYGCCGCGGCCGTCTTCGTCTTCTTCACCACGACCAGGCCCGACAGCTGGGCCCTGCCCGCGCTCTCTGCCTTCCTCTTGGCCTTCGGGGCCTGTGGGGTGACGGGACTCGTGAGTGGCCTGCCCCAGTCCAGTCCCTCTCTGGGCTCCCTGCCCAGCCCCTGCCCTGCTGTCACCTGGCGAGCCGTGGCCCGAGGCTGGGAGTGGCGTCCTGCGCCTCCTCCCCTCACACCCCGTTGGCACCTGGGCTTCGCGCCCACTCCTCCCTGACGCCCCTTCCCTCCTCCTGCCCTGGCGAGCTCCGACTCGTCCCTCAAGACCCGTCGAGTGTCTCTCGGAGGCCCGAGTGCCCACGCCCCGGTTGGCTGTTAGCTGTCTGCCCGGCCCCGTGGGCGGCTAGGTCCTGTCGCCACGCTGGTCCACTGCCCCCACAGGTTCCTGCCCCTCCCTGGGCGCCAGTCACCATGTCTGAGGGTCCAGGGGAATCAGAGGCCCTGCCTGGGACGGGGCAGAGAGGGGCTCAGCAGGACTCTTCACCCCACCCCCCCGGGCCCTGTCCCCGTGTGTTTAAACAGAACTGGCAACCATGGGACTGAGGCCCTGCGGGCGGGACAGTGAGGGGTGCTGGACAGGCAGACGTCCAGCTCAGGTGTGCCCAGCACCGTCCCCCGAGGCGGGCAGCGGGGCAGCACTCCCAGAGGTGCTGGGGGCATTGGTGGTGCAGAGGGACCCTGAGGGACGAGGAGGGGGAGCAGAGGGGAGGGGCTGCAGGAGCAGGACCCCAGGCCCTGGGCGGTGGCGGTGGGTGGGCAACAGCAGGGGCCAGCAGCAGGGGCCAGAGCTCTCTGACCTTCTGTGCTGGGCAAACCCAGGGCCTCCTGGGTGTGAGGGGGGAGAAGCAAATGTCCGCGCAGTTGGAACTGCTGTCACCTGAGGTCTGCCCAGTGGCTAGCGCTGGACCTGGCTGCCCACCAAGCTCTGTTCTTCCCTCCTGTCCAGTTAGCGGTGCGGTCAGCCCGGTCAGCTAGCCAGCCTCCTCCCAGCCTCCCTCGCAGCAAGACTCAACCATGTCCTGGTCCAGGGGGATGTGGGGGGCCATGGTGGGCCACACCCGGGTCTGCGGGAACCCCCATCCCCTGCTTCCCCTCAGCTGCAAGTGGTGCCACGGGCYACCTGGGCCACCTGGGCCACCTGGACAGGCACAGCTGCTCCAAGACACACTCCAGGAGCCGCCGGGAGCCTGAGCCCCTGAATGGCTCAGCAGGGCCAGCAGAGCTGCCCAGAAGTCCTGACCGCCCAGGGCACTGGCTTGCGACCAGAAGCAACCTCAGTGTCCACTCTGCCCTGCCCGAGCTTCCCAGGCTCAGCAGGGGGGACAGCGACCCACCCCTCGTCACCCGGTTTCAGCAACAGCTGGCGCATGGCACAGGGCCTGAGGTGGCCGGAGCAGCAGCAGCGCCAGCTGCCCAGCCTTCCAGGGCTGCCCAGCTGCCCGGGCTCCCTGTCCCGCCCCCCGTCCCTGCAGCACTGCGGCAGGGGGCCTGGGGCTCACCTCGTGCAGGATGGCGGTGGGCTGGGGCCGCAGCACGGGCCGGGGCGGGGCGGGCTTGGCCTCGTCCTCAGAGTCCGAGTCCTCCAGCAGCCGTTGCCTCCGCGCTTCCTCCAGCAAGGCCCTGCGGGAAGGCCAGGGCTGGGGGTGCTCCGCAGGGGACTCGGCCAGGACCCCCTGCCAGGGCCCTACCGTCCCTGCCGGACTGGCAAGGGCACACCACGTGTTGAGACCCCCGCTCCCTGAGGGGTGAGTGGCCAGGTGTCTGGACGCTGAGGCCAGCGCGTCTGGGCTGCAGCCCTGGTTGGGGACTATTCGGGACTGCCTGGACACTGGCCTCAGCCCTGGACCTGCTGACGGCCACAGCAACTGCCAAGGCCRGGCAGGGGGCAAGTGCCAGGTAAGTAGCTGGCTGTGGCAGAGTGACCACTGCCTGCCCCAGGTGCCACCAAGCCCTGCTGTGCTCTGACCCCACCCAAGGCCCAGGGGGACAGGGACACAGCTACAGGACAGGACTGACCAGCATGGTGGTCAGGGGTCAGGCACTGACCCGGGAGGCCTGCAGCTGTGACCCCAGAATACGGCTGGGGCTCCCCTCCCCACGGGGTGCTGGGCCTAACCCTGGGTGCAGTTCCTGCTCCGCGCTGCTCTCCCTGGAGCCTGGCTGCTGGGGAGCCTGAGGGGCCTGAGGGAGGACCTGGGGGGCCTAGGGGGGCCTGGGGGATGTGGGGGGCCTGGGGGGCCTTGGGGACCTGTGTGACTCCCCAGGACAAGAAAGGGTCTCTGCCAGCCCACAGTGACCTCTGCTCTGCCACCACGGCTCACTGTGGGGAACCCGGGTGGCCTGAGTGCCCCTGGAAGACTCCCGGAGCCCTGCCTGGGCTCCCCAGTCCCCGCGCCGTCTCCAGCAGGTGGCTCTGCTCTGGGACCTGCCACCCAACACCACAGCCGAGGGTGTGGCTCGGTGGCCAGCGCCTGCCCAGCACGGGAGACAATCCCACAAGAAAACCAAACCCACGGCCCCGGACACCCGGTGCTGAGCCTGGGGACCCCAGGGGACGGCAGATCACAGTGGGCTCGAGGACCCCAGGACAGATGCCGTGACAGACCATGAGGGACGGTGGCCCCAGGAACGGGGGTGCTGGGGGCACGGGCGGCCACTCACGCGGTCTCCTGCTCGTCCTCCTCCTGCTGCCGCCGCCGCCGCTCCTCCTCCGACAGGCGGTGCTGCCGCAGCATGGCCTCGAAGTCCACGTGCGCCTGGCGCTGGTTGAGCTCCTTCAGCTCCTGCAGGTTCTCCAGCACCTCCATCTCCAGCTTGGAGTCCTTGGTGCGGTTCTCCAGCACCTGCGGCACCCGGCGTCAAGGCCACGCCCAGCCTGGCCACCACCCTGGGCGCCCCTCCACTCAGGAGGGCCCCTCAGGTCCGTGGGAACCCTGAGGCTTGGGGAGTGACCGCCACAGCCGGCCCCAGAGAAGCCGGGTCCAGCCTGGCACCTTCCTTGAGGGCAGTGGGTCCAGGACAACCGGCACCTGCTCCAGGGTCTGGGCCAAGGTGCCCAACCTCCCCAAAGCAGGGACAGAACAGCCTGACGCACGAGCACCCAGAGGCCCAGAGCGCACACATGGCTTCCCGAGGTCCCAGAGCCTGAGTGGCCTGACGGCCCCGGGAAGCACCTGTCCTCTTCTCCCCTGCCGGGTAACTTGGGCTCCAGCAGCACTGCCTCCTGGCCTCCTGGCCGGGGGTCGGGAGTGCCCTGGTCATCTCACGGGCCTCCCTGGCTGCTGAGGCTGCAGGCCCAGCCCCACTGCAGGGACCCCTCCGGGGCGGAGGCCTGTGCCCCTTCCTCTTCTGGCCTTCCTGGCTCCCAGAGGCCACCTGCTTGCTTTCCCCCTGGTGACCTCCGTGCTGCTCCGAGTTGTCCTGTCCAGACTCGATTAGAGGGGCGGGTGGCAGACCAAGTGCCCCTGGAGAGCCCCTGGGCCAGGGCAGCTGTGCACAGTGACAGGCCCCAGGCCGAGGGAGGAGGCTCCTTCCTCCCCACAGCCCAGGCCCAAGCGGAGGGCGGGGATCAGCAGGCCGCTCGGCCACCACCCGGCCCCGCCCCGCGCAGCGCGCCCACCTTCATGGGGTTGTTCAGCTCCTCGTCCTCCCTCTCCTTCTGCACCCGCTTCTCCTCCTCCTCCAGGAGCTTCTCCGCCTGGAAGTTCCGCGTGGCCCCGTGCTCCATGGTGTAGTCGGTGTTTTCAGGGTCTGTCTGGGAGGAGCAGGAGTCTGGGTGCCAGGGCACCAGGCGGGCAGAACAGGCTGCTCCCCGCTCAGGGGCTCAACTCTTCCCCCTCTGCTGCGCCCTCCCCTGACTCCCGCAAAGGCAAGGCCTACTGAGGTGGATGGCGCAGGGCGTCCATCCTCTGGAGGAGCGCAGCATGTTTCTGGGAACGGGCTGGTTTGTTTCTGTATTCCTTTAGTAAGTCTAGTTGCGACTTCTCATATGACCATTAAGTTTGAAGGAAAAAATGTGACTTTCCCAATTAATGCAACTACTTCTAAGAATAGATGTGTTTGCTCTAAGTGCAAGGATTCAGCTGTGGAACGTAAATAGTTAATGTTTAATGAGAAACCCCCTGTAGGAAAAACAGTCAGGGAAGTTTTTGAGAAATTAAATTAAAATCTAGAGAAGAATTAATGTTGGGGCTGGGGATGTGGCTCAAGCGGTAGCGCGCTCGCCTGGCACGTGTGCGGCCCGGGTTGGATCTTCAGCACCACATACCAACAAAGATGTTGTGTCCGCCAAAAAAAAAAAAAAAAAAAAAAAAAAAAAAGCATTGTGTTGTGTCCATCTACATCTAAAAAAAATAAATATTAAAAAAAAAAAGAATTAATGTTAAGAAGAGAGATTAGTGCTTGGTACTGGGCAACTTGTTCTTGTTCCTGTGCACAATGGTTTGTGCTCTTACTCTTGTTTGATTAAAATTAGTAGCCTCTCTTTTCAAGCTAACCACTTGCCATAACTGTGGCGCCACTTCTAGTCAGTAAGTCAAGAAAGAATAGTCAAGGTGTAGGCCAATAGTCCAGGACCTTTCTATTATTAAAAGTTAGCTAAGCAGAAACAGCTCAAAGCAAAACGCAAACTTAAAGGAAAAATGCTGGCTTATGCATAAGCCAAGAYACATTCTTCTTATCTAATTGTAGCTACGTAATATTTTGTTTCTTTGAATCATGATTCCTGTTTTGTAACCACAAAGTACTGTGAGCCTGCCAAGATGAAGAGTGTTTGATTAACTTCACAAGTAAAGACGGGGATTCGGCACCTTCACTTCTGTCTGTGTTGTTTCTCTGCCGCCTTCCACCGACTCCTCACCATCTCCTGAGACCCCCCTTTACCCATCCTTGTCCCTCTTCCTGCCCTGTGGCTTGGCGGGCCTGGTTCTTCCCTTCAGGCTCCATCCCGTCTGCAGACAGGCCCAGCTCCCTCTGAACCCCCCACCTGTCCTCTTCACCCTCTGCCTCCACTCCACGGCCTCCGCACCTCTGCAAACCCACCTTCAGACCTTCACCCATGTGTGCCCTCTCCTTCTCTGTGTGGCTGTGTGAGACACTTGGTCCTTGGTTAAAAGTCATACCCCAGGTATGAATACAGCGTGCCCCCGGCCTCCGGGATCAGACCCGGAGCTGAACGCTGGGATCCACGCCGGAGGTCCTACTTGGCAAACGGTGACATTCCGCTGTTGGTATCTGAGTGGGACAGATGTACCGCGGCCATGGGAGATGCTGACACTGGGGCAGCGGGGGGACAGGAGCTGCCCGGGCTACCTTCATGACTTTTCTGTGATCTACAAGTATCGAGGAAGAGCGTGACCCGTATGTGTGTGTGTGTGTGTGTGTGTGTGTGTGTGTGTGTGCACACGTGCCTAGAAAAAAAATTCCTTTGGCACCCTGGGGACTAAATCCAGGCAAGCGCTCTGTGTCTGAGCCACGCGCCCTGCCCTGCCTCAGCCCCGAGTGGCAGTAACTGCAGAAGTGGGCCACGGAGCCTGACCGGCCTAGAAACATTTTTTAAAATCACGTAAGCAAATGTCATGAGCGTTTGCCCATCTGCATGGCACCTGGCTGGGCAGGTGGCGGGTGACAGCAGGGACTTTTCAGGAAGGCAGTGCTGTGTGGATTCTGTTCTTAGCCCACGTCCACACGGGCGTCAGTATAAAGGGTGAAGACACGTGTCTTGTTATGAAGGGTCGAGGCCACAGTCTGTTGGTCTTTGAAAAACACACGCATGTTCATATTCATGAACTTCAGAATTCAGGTTAAAATCCATTTTCCTCTTTTTTAGTACCAGGATTTACCCAGGGATGCTTGACCACTGAGCCACATCCTCAGCCCTTTTTATTTTTGATTTTGAGATAGGGTCTTGCTAAGTTGCTCAGGACAGTGGAAGAACAGGAGTCCTCCTGAGTTGCTAAGTGCACCACTGTGCCTGGCTTAAAATGTATAATTTTTTAAAAATATTTATTTTTTAGTTGTAGTTGGACACAACACCTTTATTTCACTTATTTATTTTTCTGTGGTGCTGAGGATCGAACCCTGGGTCTCGCACATGCGAGGTGAGTGCTCTACTGCTGAGCCACAACCCCAACCCCAAAACGTATAATTTTTAAAAATGTACTTTTTGTTCATTTAAGTAAAAAAAAAATTTAATTGCAAAAAACAAAGCTTACAGCAGAAACACAAACAAACAAGAACAACAATAAGAAACCATGCCAAACCCTCAGACACTGCAGAATATGGAAAATAGTGTCCAAGAGTGCCCCTCAGGGCTGGGGACACAGCTCAGGGGTGGAGCGCTCATCTCACCTGCCCAAGGCCCTGGGTTCGATCCCCAGCACCAAAAAAATTTCTCCTCATCCTGTCCCCAAATCCTTAAGGTGATGACCAAAAGCAAAGTGTGTCTCTGCGGCCTGTGGAGGCTCCCAGCAGCGTCTCCCCGGACTCCACCTGGGCTGCCTCAGCTGCTCCGTGGTCCCCTCCCCAGGCCCTCCTGCTTCCGGGATGAACTGTAAAGGGGTTTCCCTGGGGGGGGGGACCAGGTGCGGCGGCCGGCCCTACCTTGAAAGTGATCTCGGCCAGGCAGCGCGTGCACTTGATGTAGAACCTGAAGATGGGCAGGCCCAGGTAGACCTCGTTCTGCACCGTCTCCTTGCGAGCATTGAACTTCTTGCCCTTGTAGATGTACTCTCCGCACGTCTTACACCTGGGGGCACGGGACTCGCACTGCCGCAGACTGCCACCCCCTTCCCTCCCAGGCCCGGCCCCCCGCCGCTCTCCTCGCCCTGTCCACACGCTGCCTCCTTGGGGAGCGCCCAGCCCGGGGAGGTCAGCCTGTGCTCAAGGACATCCAGGTCGCCAGGCAGAGGCTGACAGAGCTCCTGCCACCCGTCCACTACGGCCCTGGGCTCCCAGCCCCATCACGCCCGCCTCCTGTTCTTCCTGCCAGCTCCTCCGTCTTGGTCCTACCTCAGGGCCTTTGCTTGCAGTTCCCACACCTGTGACACCCTCTTCCCCAGCCCTCAACTCCACTGGTGCTTCTTTTGACATTTCTCTGCCGACCCCAGTTAAGAGGCCCTCCCTCTCCTGCCTGATGAGCACGTCCACATGCGCCCTGTGCGCATCCACCTGGTGACCCATCACCTCCACTTCCCGCAGACTGTGGGTCCCAGGGTTGTCCCCGGCACCTGTGTACACATAGGCGCTGACAAACGGGGCCTGATAAAGACTGCTGAAGGAGGCAGTGAGGGAACAGAGACAGAAAATGACCCCGTCCCTGACACGTGAAGACGTTCTCCATCCCACTGCCCCCAGGTGTCCTGACTGACAGGTGTCTGGGATTCCAGGTGCCCTGGAATGGGAACACTGTGAGACCCAGAGTTAACTGAATCTAGTAATTTGAAAGGGGGACAAAGGGCAAGAGCTGGGTGCTGTGGGAGGGTGATGGCTGAGCTGGTGGGTCACGGTGGGGTGAGGCCAGCCCACGGCAGCTTCAGACAGACTGTGGCTCCTGCAGAGGAGGCCCTGAGGCAGCAAAGGCCTGACTGATGGGGCCGCTGAGATGAAGGTGCAGCCCTCTGTGTCTTCACACCTGCACTAAGGGTGGACATGGCGGATTCCGCTGGGGCTCTAAGAGGTCAGTGAGTTGAACCTCGAAAGGGCAGGGCAGGGAGGCGCTGAGAGCTCACTGGGTTGATGTCCAAGCCTGGGCTGGGGACCTGGGCTGCACCCGGGGACGGCCAGCTCTGTGGAGGTGTCACCCTGTCCGTCTTCTGTGAATGGGGTGGCCCCGCAGGACACTCACCTCATGTTGAATGGGGCCATCAACCGCACTACGTACTGCCGGTCCTTGGGGAGCTTGAGTTTGGGGATCTTTGACGGGTCGAAGTCTGGAGGGTAGTATTTCTATGGAGAGGAAGGAAGTGTCTTTCAGACATGGAGGCAGGCCATGGGCAGAGGTAAGGGGCCTGGGAACCTTGTCAGGGCAAGAGCATCCCAGGGCTGGGGACTGGAGGGCGTCCTCCCCAGAGGGCATCCTCACTGCCGAGGTTTATCAACCAAAGGGTTCCAAGAACCATCAGCCAAGGTCCTGGAGGGGAGGTCAGGTGGGTGGTGCAGACAAGTTTCCAGAACCTTCTTCAAGCAGTCACAAGATGCATGGAATACCACGATGAGTTGGGACAACATGCACAAAATGAGCCTACCAGGGAATCTCCCAGACCCACGGCTGCCCCTTCTGCCCAGCATGTGCCAAGATTCTAGCCTCCCACAAAAGCACCGGGGTTCAGCACCAACCACCTTGTTGGCATAAACAGCACAGGTACTGAGAGCCACTGTCATCAGGGAACCATCCGAAATTCAAGCTCCCAGACACCAGCCAAGAAAAAACTGGCAAGCAGCCTCTTCTTTCTTTTTGCCCTTGGTTCCCCCCCTTTCTGCAGTGTGGGGAACGGCTCCCGGGGCCTCACACATGCTAGGCAAGACCTCTACCACTGAGGTGCACACTCCCTCCCCTCGACTTTTTATTTTGACAGGATCTTGCTAAGTTGCCCAGGCTGCCCTCCAACTTGCCTTCCTCCTGCCTCAGCCTCCCAAGTTGCTGGGATCATAGGCGTGCACCACTGAACAGAGCTGAAAGCAAACTTTAAAGACAGCAGCCTCCTGCCTGCTCTTGTAACTGCTTTCTGCACAGGAATGGAGCTGAGAAATAGGATAGCCAGTTTGGGTATAAAAATAACTCCACTGCACTATCAGAAAATAAGGCGCTTCCTGTGAGCACCTAGTGAACCTCAAGCACCACAGAGTGCCCTGTCTCCCTCACCTCGAGGAACCCTAGCAAAGATTCTACCAGAGAGCAATGTGCCTATTTTACAGAGGAGGAAACGGCACCTTCCTTGCTTCATCTACTCAGAAATCAGATATTGTTGACATAACTCTGGAGAAAACTGGTGTCTTGAAGTGTAGGTACATGGGCTAACAGACTTCTAATGTCCCCTCAACAGATAGGGGGGAACTGAGGACCTGGGGATAGTCCCCCACTAGCAGAGCCAATGTGGCAAAGCCTAACCCTTCCAAGGAACAGGATTGGCCAGAGCCACCAAGAGGGGCAGGGCTCTCGCCGAACGTGGTGGTGCAGAACAGTCTCCTCCCGCGGAAATCCCAGTCTAGCGAGGGGATTGGATGATGATTGCAAGCTCCGCCCACAGAAGGCGAGGCTTCGCGAACGCCCACCGCCCGAGGACGGTGATTGGGAGGAGTTTCGGAAGCCCCTCCCCGCGGAAGGCCGTTGAAGGGGGCGAAAAAAGTTCCAAAAGGAAATTACAGGAAGTCCACCTCCCCCGGAGTCCCCCGGTGTCCCGCGCCAGATGGAAAGCCCTGGTTGCCAAATACTTACGTTTAAAACTTTGCGCTCCGACATCTTTGCCGCCTTCTCGTCTCGCTAGTTCCAGACAACGGGTTAGATTCGTTATTTATGGAGCTTCTCTGACTATTCTTGTACTTCCGCTTACGTCACTTCCTTCGGCTTCTATTACTGACTGCAACCTACACAGCTTGCCTTTCTCATTGGCTCTGACTGCAGCCTATCAAGCTTCGAGTCCTCCTATCTTCCCTCCGGAGTTCCAACTTCGGTGGCGCGAAATAAAGGTTCTGGGGTCTGTGTAGGTTTGAGAAGTTGGAGGAGGTGCTGCGCCCTCCGGACGTCGGCAGCGGCTCTGCGGTTCTGTCCCGGCGCGGCGTGGCGGGCCGGGGACGCCGCCGTTCACTCTTTGACTCGGCAAAGTGTGTAGCGCGTGTTCGGCGCGCCACCCCCCTCCCCGGCCCGGCGCCGGGCTCCGGCGGCTCGGTGTTCTGTGCGCTCCACGCCCGCGGCCCCCGCCCTGCGGGCCCGGGTTCGGTCCGGGCGGGAGTCGAGACGCGCAGGAGCTGGGTCGGCGCGGTTCTGGCCGCGGCGGGTCCATGCGCGCGCGGGCCCTCTGCGGCGGCCCCGGGTTCGGCCTCCCGGCCCTGTTCGCCGAGAATCGCCTCCCGCCGCGGCGTGGACCGAGACCCCGCCACCGACCGCTGCCTGGCGCGGGTTAAGCGACCCAGGGCGACGTTGAAGCGTGGGAAGGGCGACTTCAGCGCGGAGGAGCGGCCTGCGTGGCCGTGGCGAGTGACCACTTGCTGCTGCTGGTGGTGGAGTCGCGCAGGCGCCCTCGTGGTCGGCGGGCCGGCGTGGAGGGACAGGGCTGGTGGCCACGGAGAGGCCGTGTGCCTGAATGCCCCCCGTTCCCGCTGCCACCGTGGCTTCTGCCTTAGAAGGGCCTTTGTGCAGCCACGTAATTCAGGATAACTCCCCTTAATTTTCATTATTTTTTTTTAAAGAGAGAGGGAGATAGAGAGAATTTTAATATTTATTATTTTTTTAGTTCTCGGCGGACACAACATCTTTGTTGGTATGTGGTGCTGAGGATCCAACCCGGGCCACTCGCATGCCAGGCGAGCGCGCTACCGCTTGAGCCACATCCCCAGCCCAATTAGTTGTCAATGGACCTTTATTTTATTTATTTATATGTGGTGCTGAGAATCGGACCCAGGACCTCGCACCTGCCAGGCAAGCGCTCTGCCACGGCGCCACCGCCCAGCCCCTAAATGTCATCGACTTAATGAAAGATCTCTCATCTTGACCACACTTTTGAGTACGGCTGGTGTCAACCCAGAAGAACCAAAAGCACTTTCAAGTTCACGGCTTTCTTGGTTGTGGCAGGGACCTTGTTCTCAGGCCCAGAGATGAGGGCTAGGTGTCTGGAGCTCTACTCTGCCTGCCCGGGACTCGGCCTCCCCAGTGGCACCAGGAGACCAAGACCCCACCGCTTGGTGGCCAGGGTGTGAGGGGGAGGCTGTCTGCTAGGGCTTTTGAGACCCCGCCCTTTCTCTGACCTTCAGGGCCTGGCTCCCTGTAGGCTCCTCAGGTTTACCCTTCCCTGGCGACTCCTGCTTCTGGGCAGCCTTAGGAGGGGAGTGGAACAAGCCCTGAACCACAGGGATTCTGCGGAAGCATTCCAGGCAGAGGTCTGCCCCCCACCCCTGATGTCCCCAGGCCCTGGTCTGTGTTCAGAGCTGGCCCCCTGGGCAGGGTGACTTGCTGAGTCTGTGCCCTTCTGCACTTTTCTCATCTCGGGTTCATCTCAAGGGCAGAGCCTGGGGCTGAGTCCTCTCTGGGTCTTACCTGAGTGAATGGAGGTGCTGAGATCCGGTGTGTCCCCGTAGTCAAGTGCTGGGAAGGATCCAGGCCTCCCCTCAGCAGGGGGTTGGGCACCCAGGGAGGGGGCTGAGCAGGGGAGAGTGTAGCCCTCCGCTCTCACCTCATGCTCCCCTGCCTTTGCACCTCCGCCCTGGCATGACACAGGGGCGGCCCTCGCTGGGGGCCAGCGCCAGCCATGCCCACAGGCTTCCGGGCAGCCTCTCTATTCATTCTGCATAGGCGCCCAGCTCTGCCCCCGCCTGGGGGGTTCTGTTCTCTGAACACAGAATGAACCAAGACGGGCTTCTGTCAATAATTCTTCTAATTAAATTATCTAATAAAAATATGTGAGGTTCACAGTTCACAGAGCCCCGTGCTGTGTGGGGAGAGGGCATGTCCCTGCTTCTCTGTGGGAAATGGAGGCTCAGGTAGGCAGAGTTACTGGTCAAGGTCACCGTCTTCGGGCTGCAGTGGAGCCAGAGGTGTGCTCAAGCCAGGGGGATCCCATCCACCCTCTGCACAGTGGCAGGGAGGGGGTGTCCAAGGACCCAGTCCCTGTGGAGCCCCAGGAGGCTGCTACCTGCCCAGGGTCATGGCGGGGGCAGCAGGGAGACTCCAGTCACTCAGCTCCCCGTAGTCCGTGACGTCCTGGGCTGCCACCTGGATGCAGTACCTGGCCTGGGGCCGCACAGCTCTGAGGGTGAAGCTAGTGGCTTCGATGGGCCCCACCTGTGAGCAGAGAGGGTTGGTGGGAGGTGGGTGGGGCCTGTGCACAGAGCCCCCTGCAGCTGCCAGCCCTGCCCCAGGACGCTGGTCCCCACGGCCTGTCCCTCACCACGCCCTGTGTGGCCCTGGTATGTTTGGGGCCTGGTTTGGGTGTGAAGTCTGTCCCCACTGCAGGGGTCTGATGCTAAGAGGTGAGGCTTTGGAAAGGGATCAGGATTGGAGGAGGTCCTCAGGGGAGGGAGCCCCGTGGTGTATCCCTGGTGACTAAGAAGAGCCAGAGGCCAGAGGAGACATGGGCTCCCTGGCTCTGGCCACGTGATGCCCTGCTGGAGCGTAGGCCACCCCCAGGGCAGGCCCTCCTCCTTGGGCCTCCACAGGCCTCCCTTCTCTCCCTGCAGCCTCGGGTGCTTCTCAGTGCAACAGTCCAGCACGCCCTGTTCTCACCGGCCCCTCTGTCCTCTCTGGGACCTAGAGCTGGGCCGCCGCGGTCCCCTGTGGACTCCGCAGGCCCTGTGCATGATGCAGCTATGAGTGCCCCATGCTGGGACCCCATCCCAACAGTCATCCTCCCTGGGCGCTCCCAGGGCTCCAGGTGCAGATGCCCACACTGTGTGTCCCTCATCTGCGTGGTCATGGGCTGTCCCGCCTTTGGCTGTGCGTGTCACGGCTGTGACCCTGGGCACCTTCCCACTTGTTGAGTCCCTGCTTTTGGTTCTGGGTTGACACCAGCCGTGGACTTGCTGGACAGCTCTACTTAGAGTCTAGTGACCCCAAGCTGAGTGCCAGGGCCCAGGTGCCCCCAGCCTCCCATGCCCCCCTGGACCTCACCTGGCGGAAGCGGGAGGCTCCCTGACGCCTGTATCGGATCCAGTACTTCAGAGAGAAGACCTCGGGGAAGGGCCAGGACCCAGGGGGCTCCCAGCGCACCTGCAGCTGCCGCCCAGGGAGGGGGCTCAGGCGCACGGCCTCCGGGGGGTCCGGTTTGACTGTGGAGCAGCGGGAGGCAGGGTCAGGACACAGCTCCATTCAGTCATTCACCCACCCAACAAGTGTCCCCTGAGCGCCCACCACCGCGCCAGACAGAGGACGCAGTGGAGACCCACACTGGCCACTGCTGGGCCCTGGAGCTCACAAGGTCAGGAGGAGGGGAAACAGGTGCAGGTTGGCGGGGCAGGACGGGAGTCGCTGTGTTTCTGTGAGACACAGATCCTGCACTCTCCACCGAGGAGGACGACTCTGGAGTCCCGGCTGTCACCAAGTTATGCAGCCCCCCAGCCCTGCACCATGGGGCCGGGTCCTGTCCCTGGACTCTCCTGTCCTGCACCTTCCCTTCCTCTGGAGCCATACTGGCCTGTGTGACTGTCACTGAGCACGAGGTCCTCAGGTCCATCCACACGGCAGGGCCCTTCTCCTCCCTCCTGCCCTGGCCAAGGACACTCTGGTGTGGATGGACCACTGTGCATCTGTCACCTGCAGGTGGCAGCTGGGCTGATCCGCCTGGTCTCTGTGCCGTGGGCATTGATGGGGACCTTCGTGTTTTACTAAACTCCACCAATCTCTAATATTAAAGGTTGCATTTTTGCTTGATACGGGGACCTGCTGTTGCTGGGCTGGCCTGAAAGTTGTGATCTTCCTGCCTCATCCTCCCCAGTCACTGGAATGACGGCATGTGCCGCCGCCTACAGTTTGTGCGTTTTTACCAACATACTGGAGTGGCCTCACTCGAGGTGACTCTGAGCAGAGACCTGAGGGAAATGAAAGAGTGGGGACAGAGGACATCTGGGGGAAGGTGCTCCAGGCACAGAAAGGCCCTGAGGCAGGACAGGACTAGGGGGTGAGGAGCCTGGGTACCTGGAGCAGAGGGGAGGGAAGAGAGGAGGAGGGAGGCGGGGAGTGGACGGGCCCTGAGGGTCGCAGGGAGGACTTGGGCTTTGACCGAGGGAGGTGGGAGCCCTGCAGGGCTCTGGGTGAGGAAGCAGAGGCCGACGCAGGTGTTCAGGGCGCCCCCTGGTGGCTGCTGCGGGGATGACGGGCCATGGGGCGAGGGTGGAGCCAGGGGCCGGGTGGGGGGGGAGAGGGGGTCAGGCCTCAGGGCGGGGGAGGGGGAGGCAGGAGGGCGCCGGCCCCGCCCGCACTTACTGACGTGCTCCGCCACGAAGGGCGCGAAGCCGCTGCTGGCGCCCCCGGGGTGCACGGCCGTGACGTTGAGCACGTAGGGCGACAGGGAGAACAGCTGGACGTCGGGGATGGTGCAGCCGGTGGCCTCGGGGGTCGGCTGGAGGCACGGCCGGCTCTGCCCCTGGGCGGCCACACCGAGCCTGGACGCGGGAGGCAGCAGGTCTCAGCGTTTTCCCGGCCTCGGACCCCAGGATCCCAACCAGGGGAGCAGGGCAGCCCTGGTCGGGTCCTGCCCTCGCTGGCTGTGTGACCCGGTGTCACAGCGCAGGGGGACCCAGAGTGTCCAACACAGCCCCGGGAGGCACCAGGGTGCTGGGTTCTAAAGAGTCCAGCAGGTGAATCCCGACATTGGGCAGGTCAGCGGGCTCACAGCCCAGGGACCCGGGGGTTCGCAGAGCCTTCGGATTCGGGGACCCGGGATGTGGCTGCTGGAACCTCGAGCTGGCTCCGCGTCTGGGCTCCTGCAGCATCTGCTGAACCACGGCCTCCCGCGGGCCAGGGAGGGAGCTGAACCGGGGCCTCATGGGGCTGGGCAAGCACCAGCCTCACAGCCACACCCCACCCCTTTTTATTTTGAGACAGGGTCGCCCTGAGTTGCCTAGGCTGGCTTTGAACTTGTGAACCTCCCCCTCAGCCTCCCAGATAACTGGGATGTTGGGCGTGTGCCACTCTGCCTGCTGTTTATATTGGTTTTACGCAGCGTCTAGAAGGCTGGACGTGCATGGTGGCCTGTGGTGTGCACTATGGCTGTCCTATGGTTTCTACTGGATGGGGCTGCGCTGGAATTCCAAAGGCTGGGATGTGTGGGTCTCCAAGGGCTCTCACAGCCAGAGGCTGGCCCCTCCCCAAGTCCACTGTCCCCTAGAGGTCCCTTCTGGCCCCCTCTGACCTGTATGTGGCGATGAAGGTTGTGGCTGTGGTGCAGTTGGGAGCTGGTGGCAGGGTCCAGGAGCAGTCCACGGCCACCGGGTACCTAGAGGCACGGCACTGCACCCGAGGCTGGCTTGAAGACACTGGGGCCACCAGAGGAAGAGAGGAGGGTGAGCTTCCTGTGCACCAGAGTGGACACAGCCCTGGGCTCACCCATATCACCAGCCACACCGGGCACACAGTAGGTGCCCCATGAAGGAATGTGGAGAATGGGTACAGGGGTGACAGGTACCTGCCCCATCGGCCGCCCCCCACACCGACGCAAGGCGGGCCCACCAGCCCATTTCCAGATGGGGAGGCTGAGGGTGAAGGATGGGAGCCTCCCTGTCCACATGTGGGTGCGCTGCTCCGGAGTGGACGCAGGCAGTTCCAGTTCTCCCTATGGTGGCCCCTGAGTGTGTGCAGGGGATGGTACCGGGGCCCAAGATGCCCCTGGTAGGAAGTAGCGTGGGGTCTGCCTCCGACCTGCCCTGTCCTGCAGACCTGGAGCCATCTCCAGGTGACTCAGGAGACCCGCCCTGTCACCGTCACATGGCGGTGGCTGTGCTCTTGAGGGGAAGGTGGGCGTGCCCAGGACAGCCACAACTCTCTTCCTAATGTTGTCGACCTGCGGTGGCCGTAACCCGTGGGTGTGGACGCCAGGACAGGGACCCGGACTATGGAAGCTGCAGGCTGTGGCCCCCCTCCTGGCTGGCACCTGGGGATGGGTTTGACCCCTGGCTTTCTGTTCCGCTGTCCGTCCACTGTGAGGGTGACCCTGCCCCACAGCAGGCATGTGGCCAGCCTGCTCCCAGAGCCAAGGCTGGGGCGCAGCCCCTGCCCGCCCGACCCCCGGGGCCCTGCTTACCTGCCCTTCCCCCGCAGGACGAGCCCCCTGCCCAGAGGGCCAGGGCCAGCAGGAGCCTCAGGGTCATGGCTGCGATGACTGATCTCTCAGGGTCTGGCGAGGGGACTGCTGAGCCTGGCTAAAGGCAGGGCACTGGGGACCCGTGGGGAAAGCCCCACCCGCCACCGAGCCTCCCTCCCCGGCTGACTCACTGGCCGGTCTGGGGGCCAGTGGAGAGAGGAGCAAGGGCTGCGGAGTCCCCAGCCCCCTCATTGGCCACCGAGGGTGCAGGCTGCAGAGAGCCTGGGGGTGGGGGCAGGGAAGGGGGACCGCAAAAGGGAGAAGTGACCCGGTGGCCTTCCCCAGCACAGCGGGCTGGTTCCCTTCCTTCCGGCTGCAGCAGGAAGCAGGGTGGGGGGTCCCCGGGGAGGAGGACGAAGACACCCAGAAAGCAGACAGACAGGCGGTTGCGGAGAGTCAGAGGTGGACAGGAAGAGGCTGAGAGGAGCGGAGATGGAGAGAGACCCGAGAAAGGACTCAGGATGGAGACTGAGGGACAGACGGGGAGATGGAGAAGTGACAGAGGGGGCCGGGGGGAGGAGAGGTGCAGGGGGACGAGACAGAGCTGCAGGGCACATGTGCCCCCCTCAGAGCCGCTGGCCCACTCCCCGGGCCAGGGATGGCCCCCCAGCCACAGCAACCCCGGAGGCCAGGCGCTGGAGAAGAGCACCCCCACACTCTCCGTGCTGCTGGGGTGTCCAGGGTCAGCTGAGGTCATCCTGTACTGGTGCCTCCCAGGTCACCCAAGGAAACCCCCAGGACAGGCTGAACAGCACCAGGAAATTCCCAGTCCCACCCCTGCCTCCTCCCCGTTAGCTAAAAAGTGCCAAGAGCCCTCGGGGATTTCAGGGGATTTGCCAGAGGGACAGGGACAGGCTGGGGTCAGCTCCCCACCCACCCCGAAAGTGAGATTTGTGAAGAAATGTGGCCAGGTGCGGTGACGCACACCTGTCATCCCAGCAGCTCAGGAGCCTGCGGCCGGAAGATGGCCAGCGGAGGCCAGGCTGGGCCATGCAGTGAGACCCTGTCTCCAAATAAAAAGGGCAGGGGGTGGCTCAGTCCCAGTACAGGAAAAATAGACGAAACTCCGAGTCTGGAGGTGTGCTCAGGGGACAAGAAAGAAAGAAAAGTGCAGCCCTTCACATTTAGGTCTTTGTTCATTGTTGGGTTTTATTCCTTTTTTGGGGGGCGGGGGGAGTGGAGGAGGTACCAGGGCCCTCGACCCCTGGGCCAAATCCCCAGCCCTATTTTGCATTTTATTTAGAGACAGAGTCTCAGTGAGTTGCTTAGAGCCTTGCTAAGTTGCTGAGGCTGCCTTTGAACTCACGATCCTCCTGCCTCAGCCTCCCAAGCCACCGGGGTTACAGGTGTGCACCTCCCTGCCCGGTATCTTCAATTTTTTTTTTTTTTTGTACTGGGGATTGAACCCAGAGGTGTGTTACCTCTGAGCCACATCCCTGGCCCTATTTTTTTTTAAATATTTATTTGTTTTTTAGGTGTAGCTGGACACAACACAATGCCTTTATTTTCATGTGGTGCTGAGGATCGAACCCGGTTCCCGCCTGTGCTAGGCGAGTGCTCTACCGCTGAGCCACAATCCCAGCGCCCCCCCCCAGCCCTAGTTTTTATTTAGAGACAGGGTCTCACTGAGTAGCTGAGGCTGGCCAGGACCTGCGATCCTCCTGCCTCAGCCTCCCGAGCTGCTGGGTTTTCGGGTGTGGCTTGCCCGCTAGACAAGGCCCGGCAGAGAGCTGCACCCCAGCGACTACCTGGTGCTTTCCTGCACCCACTCCCATTTTAAAACATTGCTGTGGTGGTTTTATCTGGTGGCTGAGTTTGGGCGGGGCTCCTGTCCTGGGCCGCCCTCCCTGCCCTGCCGCAGGCGCCCAGCAGGACCAGTCAGACAGGCCACACGTGCATTTGTCTGTGCAGAGATCTTTTATTCCTGGATCGGGTTCCTCGGGACGGGACCCGGGCAGGACATACGCAGCTGCCCGGTGGGGAGGGCAGGCACACCCGACCAACCACAGTGTGCGGGGACAGCTGCAGTGATGGGGCCACTTAGGGGCAGTCGGGAGGGGACCCAGGCTGGTGTCCACGTGTCCAGTCCCAGCCGCCTGTGGGGCAGCGGCTGGCCGGGGGCTGGCTGGGGGCCTGGGGTTCTGAGCTGGCTGCGCAGCCCCCTGCTGGCCTCAGCGGCCCTGGGCCTGGAGCCTTTGCATCTGCAAGATCTGACTGAGAATCCGCTGCACGTCCTCGTCCATCTGGCCCTGGAAGCCGTGGGAGCAGAGAGAGACCCTGGGGCCACCTGCCCAGCCTCTGTGTTCCCTGCACACCCCCAGAAGGAAAGTGGAGGCCAGAGCCAGGGCGGCCCAGAGACGCAGCTGGAGCGGTGACTCACCTGGATGGCATACAGGAGGTGGCTCCTATACAGTGCCACCACAGCACAGTGGTCACGGGCAGCCTCCTGTGGGCACGGGGCAGGTGCTCAGAGGGGCAGCCCCCAGGCACCTCCCACCTGCTTCACCGAGTCTGTTGCTCGCCCCAGGGTGGCACCGATGGCTGGACCCTGCGAATTCCTGCCCAGGCACCTGCCCTCCTGCCCCCGGGCCGCCCAGGACTGTGCAGTGCGCCTGCGCGGCCCGCCCCTGGCCAGCACTGTCCTCACCTCCATCTGCCGCTGCAGGGCCTTCACCTGGCCTCGGAGGGCCTCCACCTCGGCCTCCACCCGGGGCGCGGCTGGGGCGGCCGGCTGCTCCTTCAAGGCCTCCTTGAGGCTGAAGACTTCCTTGGACAGCTCTGTGATCTGGGGGGGGGGTGTCGTCAGGCCACAGAACAGACCACCCTTTACATGTGGGGGGAGGCCCAAAGGACGTGCTTTGTGACGTGAAGATTCCACCAGATTCACATCTGAGGTTTGTGAACAGCTTCCTCTGCACACGACCGAGCCCACCCGTCGGGCTGTGTCCCCCGGACTGCACCTGAGGGCAGGGGGTGGCCACGGCCGGCTCGGCCCTTCGGGTCAGAGGACATTTGTACTTTCTGGCCCTTTATAGGAAAAGGTCCCTCCCGGCTCTCGGGGTCTCCTCTGGTCTCTCTGGAAGGGGCGGGTGGGCATACAGCAGAGTTCAAGGCCACCTGGCTCGGCCAGCTGGAGTCCCGAGCCCTGGGCCGCGTCCCTGATGGTACAGGTGGTTTTTTTTGGACTAGGCGCCACTGAGCCGCCTCCCCAGCTGTTTTTATTTTTTTTAAGACAGGCCCTAAGTTGCTCAGGGCCTCGCTAAGTTGCGAGGCTGGCTTTGAACTCGCCATCCTCCTGCCACTGCCTCCTGAGTGGCAGAGGTGACAGGCGTCATCAAGAAGGGGAGGCTCGGCTGGGCTGTGGCTCAGCGGTAGAGCGCTGGCCTCGCAGGAGTGAGACCCTGAGTTTGATCCTCAGCAGCACAATAAATAAAGAAAACAAAGGTATGGTGTCCATGTGTAACTAAAAAATGTGTTTTTACAGAAGAAGGGCAGGCTCTACTCTTCTTGAGGGGGAAGGTGACCCCCGACCCTGTCTCTTCACCTGTGAAATGGGAGAACCGCGCTCTTAAGCGGCTGTGCTTCTGCACTAAGGTGAAGGTGAAACCGGGCCTGGCCACGGTGCATGCGCTGGACGCCAGGCCTTAGGATCACACCCAGACCAGACGTCCTCCCCCCGGGCCATCCTGCCCGAGGGAACATGGGCCACATCTGGGAACATGTGTGACTGTCACAGTTGCAGAGCTCCTGGCCTGGGGTGGGCGGAGGCCAGGGACGCTGCTGAGCACCCTGCAGGGCCTGGACGATGGACGGAAGCACAGCTCCAGCATCCCCGGAGCAGGCCCACTGTACACGAACCACAATGCCAACTGCGATTTTATGGTCCTGAGCATTGACCTGGGGGCTCTACCACTGAGTGACACCCCAGGTCTTTTTTTGTTTTTTAATACAGGGTCTGGCTAAGCTGTCCAGGCTGCTTTGAGCTGGCGGTCCTCCTGCCTCCGCCTCCAGAGTAGCCAGAATTATAGATGTGACCTCCACTCCTGGCCCAATTGCAATTTCCTCATTTTACAGACGAAGCAACTTCTGCCCAGAGAGGTAAAGTGACTTGTCCAGGGTTACACAGCGATTCAGGGACAGGTATAGGGTCAGCACCCCAGGACATGGGGGTCACATGTATGACTGAGCCCCACTTCAGTTTTTGGAGGCTCAGTTTGTTCACCAGGAAAATGGAGTTAAAAGTGGTCTCTGGTTTTCAGGATTAGGGGTAGAGGAAAAGTGGAACTGTGAGGAAGAGGGCCGGTCCGACACCCAGCAGGCGCTGTTGTCGGTATTACTGAGGTTGTATTAGGAACAAAACTTGAAAACTTGGGTTCACACCCTGGCTGAGCCATTGCCTGGCTTTGTGACTCTGAGCAAGTGGCTTCACTTCTCTGTGCCTAAGTTTCCTCAGTGGGGAGATTTACCTTGCAGACCTTATGAGCACTTGGCGGGAGGACGAACTGCAGGGCCTAGGGCCTGGCGGGCCTCAGCCCCGGGTAAACGCTCTGCAGCCTGGTGGCCGTGGCCGACCCCCTCTACTGCCTGATCCCCATCTGCATGATGGGCTGGTTCCCCCGCTCCGCTGGGGACCATCCTCTGCTGAGTGGGCCCATGGAACACGGGACGGCTCACCCACCTTCTTGTCCTTCTCCTTGGCCTTGTCCAGGGCCTCCTGGGCGCGGCTCTGGGCCTCGCGTGCCCTCTCGGCTTCGGTCCGTAGGCTCCGTAGCTGCTGCTCCGCGGTGGCCAGCTGGGCCTCAGCCGCGTGCCGCTCGCTCTTCATGAACAGCGCCTCTCGCTGCACCTACGGCCCAAGCCCCCCGTGACTCTCAGGCACTGGGACCCCAGGCTTCTTGGCCTGAGGACGCTCAAGTCTGTGTTGACCCCAGCGGTGTGACCCACGTCAGTTCTGAATTCCTCTTGGCCCTGTGCACGTTCAGGCCCGCCCCGCACCTCTGCTGTCCTCGCTGGCTGTGTGTCCTGGACAAGTGATCTCGCCTCTCTGT